GGAAAAAAAAAGGAAAAAAGAGAAAAAAGAGAAAAAAGAAAAAGGGAAAAATTACACAGAAAAACAAGAGACAGAGAATGAATCCCAGACTGAGTATGGAACTGACATCTGACTGCCATATTACTATTACTGGCAACAAGCACGTGCAGTGACAAACAATAGATTCTCAGGATTCGTAATGATCCAGTTAAGTGGTGATGGAGATGTTTTCCTTCAAACACAGTCCAAACAACTTCTCAACACTGCATGGCACAGCCAGAGAAAGGGCTTGGACAGGAACAGGAATCCCAGGCTGCAGCTCAAGTATCTTTTTAGGTAAGACATTTCTGTTGTAACAAGCACAAAGATAGTATTTAGTAGTCCCTCTTTCTCCTTCTAAAATCCAGAGATCTTTTAAAATTAGAGAAACATCTTCAAAGTATGTAGCTACATCTGTCTCCTTGGTAAGTGACATAGATTTATTAGAGGTGCAGTGAAGGAGTACCCTGTGCAGGGCTCTGCACACTTTTCACAGTTGTCAGAAATCGTGAGAGTGGGTCCTTGGCTGTTCAAGTTTCTTCCAGCTTAACACACTCACAGCACAAACACCACACAACCTACTCCCAAAATACTCCTTTCATCAGGCACACACTAGAAACTGGGCTCAGAGTATTTGTCATGGGACATGTGTTTAAAGCAAGTCAGCAAACTGTGCATCAGCTACTCTTCCTTAGGGGCTTGAGATCCACCACAGGCTTGTCCTGTTCTCACACTTTGCCACCAGCAGTAACAGGATACTGAGCAACAGGCGCTTCAGCTTCCACCAGCTGCACCCTTCTTCACCCCAGCACAATGAAGTTGTGATACAGCAAAGGCAACACCCCTGATCAGCCACAACACAGCACAGCTGGGGCTTCCCCTGCTCTGCAGGTCTGTAAAAACAAGCTTTTCATCACAACCCTGAGAACAGCAAGCACTGCCACACAAACCAAAGATGTGCCAAAACCAAATGCCTGAGAGAAGAGGAGGGGGTTCTCCTTTGCAGGTGTTTCAGGAGTTTGCACAGCATTATGCAAGTTAAAGTAATTTTCTGTAGTAGGCACGACTTAAGTTATGATTTAATTTATGCTTTAACAATGCTTAACCAGCATGGCGGGGGCTTTATTCTGGTTTTAGCCATGTGATGCACCAACCCATGAGAGGAGGAGTAGAGAAACTGGCTGTGTTCCATGTAGGAGTTTCTCTTCGCACATCGCTCTCTGCTGGCTCCTGGAATTGCCCATCTCCCTTCTAATACCACGGGCACAGACAGTAATGAGTGAGCTCTCCTAAGTGGATCTCAGAACCCTTCATTACACAGCATGTCACTCTACAGCTACCTTAGTGTCACACCTTAATAATTAAGAGCTTTAACTCATTTAGTTACTTCTTCACCAGGGATGGCCAAGACAGCATCTGCATCAGCAATACAAAAAAATCCCCCCAAAAAACCCCAAACTAAAAAACCACAACCCCCCAACCCTTAAATTACCTGTTTGCAATGATCAGACTGGGTTTATAACACCATCACTCACCACATTTGCCAGCTTAGGAAGAGGCTCTACATCACGTTGCTTGCATTATAAAAATAAAGCTCTCTTTCCCTCATACCCAAGCACCTCGATGCTTTGGAGAGGGAACCTGACACTTGGATAAAAACAGCTGGCATGTATAAATACATGTAACACCTCTGGCCAAACCTCTGAAAATATATAAACATTTGGTAACTATGGTTTTTTTAAATGAGTTTACGAACACCGGGATTCACAAGGGTAAGCCAATATGCACAATTTCTTGGGTGCAGACACGAGTGAGCAGCAGTACTCTGGATTATAAATCACAATCACAACTAGCAATAAAAAAGGCAGGGGAACAAGTATGTACTGAAACAGGAGCTGGGCTGTAGAATCCCAGGGACTGGATTCAGCAGTGCAGACAGGGAAGAAAGGATGCAGACACAGGTACAGGAAAGGACTTGCAGCAAAGGACATGGGGAGCTAAAGGCCTTCAAGGGATACTGGAGATAAGACACTACAGCCTGAAGAGGACACTGGGAACGTGAAGGAATGTGGGACTAGCACAGGAAGAAGCCAAAAGTGCAACCAAATGTTAGGTCTTTAATGGCTCTCATGTTTGAGTCAGGTGCTGCCGGATCAGATGAACAGCTAAAAATCCCTGGAGATATGTCCTCACTGAGCAGGTGAAAAATCTCACAGCAACCAAGGTTGACCAGTTCTACCCCAGTCACATTTTGCACTTCATTTAATCTAAGGAGGCTCTGGAGTAGGCTGGCCAAGGGCAGAGCCACAGGCACAAGACAATGGATAAGAAGTTGATGTACACTCCATCCCCCTCTCCTCCAGGGCCCTCTCCTGGTCCTCCCTCAGCGAGCTGTAGGATGACTGCCAGCTGCTCTCCTTGGCAGGCTTTGTGCAGCTTTCCCTCTGAGACAGGACCTGGAGCTGGCCCTCCATCTCCCACCCCTGTTTTGGATACATTAGCTGTCACACCAGCCAGCACATCGAGAACAGCCCAGCTCTGATTGCTCCAGTGTCTCACACAGCCACACAGGAGAACCAAAAGCAAAGTCTGTCTCTCCCATGTTCCCAATGCCAACCCTTTCCAGCTGCTAAGGAATTTCTTACAGGAGATGGTGCCATTTGGATAAGTCAAGTGTGAGCTATTCAGAGAAACAGTGAAAAACTGCCTGTGGGCAGCTGGTTAGGTACAGCAACAGTTTAGGTAGGGAACAGGGTAGAACGGCCTTGGAGGAACAGCAAAAGGCACACTGGGACAGAGCAGGGTGAAACACATGGGGGTGGTCATTCCCTGAGGATACAGTGTCATTGGATCAGTGACCAATGGAAAAACTAGAGAGAGGATTCACTTTGGCAAAGAAAACAGAGCCAGGAGAAAGATGTATTCCTCCTACCCCAAACACGTACCTCCAAGGAATGCCGAACATTCCCAACCTTTGCCAGGCTCCCAGACAGAAACCCAGGGACAAAGGAGGTGTGACACTGAACTTCATATCAAATCAGAGCAACTGCACAAACCGTACAACCCTTTAGCAAGGCTGCTCTTCAACAAGGCACTGCCTCCCATCCCAGATTCACTGAAGCCTTTGCACATCACACAACGTAACTACAATATTTCATTACGAAACAATTTGCACTCAAGAAGAGCAAAAGGCACTCCAGAACTGGAAATGGAAGCATCAAAATTCATCATGCAGCAAGCTTCACATTCTTGCCTCAAAACCTTTTGTGCCACAAGGCAACATGGAAAATGAAAATGAAGCCAGCTGAGTTCTTAAATACAGGCTTTTAGCTAAATCCAAGGAAACTCTCTCCCATTATTGGGGCAATGCATTTGGTTATAGGGATCCTTAAATTCTGATTTAGCGTTAAAAAACCCTTCAACCTCCTCACCCAAGTCACAAATTTCAGAGAACTTTCCACTATGTGAAGTAGGTCCAAAGTATTAACAAATGCAAAATAATTTGTAAACGTTGATTTAGGCTGCCCTGGAAAAGAAAGTGAGACAGCACTTAAAAAATCTGTAGTGCCTTATTAGTGCTGTTATTATTTAACCTAAAGAGATGTAATTTGATAAAAGGTAATTTAATTTACACATCTTGGGATATGAGTAATTTGATATGTTGTTTACTGTCCAAATCCATACAAATTCACCAGAGATTTCACTTATCACCCCTTAAAAAAACCTAACAACAACCAAAACCAACAGCCAGTATTAAGTAATGATCTTTAAAGCCTCTGTGGTGGGGAAAACCCCCCAACTTTACCCATTTAAGCAGGCTTTAAATACGTTAGTTAGCATGGTGCCACTGGTAAGTGCACAGCCAACCCTGGAATTTCCAAATCTCCTGGATGTCAGGGTTCAAAGAGTGAGAGATGTAAACTGACCTGGCTGAGACACCGCGGTGGCAGTAAACTGAGTAGCCCAGGGGGGATTCTTCTGTCCTCCAAACTGAGCCATGGTGGAAGGCAGGATCTCCCGGGGTCTATCTCCTGTAACTGCAACCTAGTGAAAGAGCACAGCTGCAGTCTTCGAAAAACACACCGCCGGGTTACTCTAATTCTGAGCCGCAGGAAAAAAAAACTCCAAACAAAAAAAAATAGACAGGAAAAGAAACAAAAAGCGTGGAAATACCAGCTTTGCGCCCCTAAAACCTGGCGGGCAACATGCGCCACGTGCGGGAAACACAGAAAGCTGTGAGACAAGTTATTTTACTTTCCTAAGGTACGACCTCCATCCCCCTCGTCTTAACAATGGGACTAACGCTATCTAAACGCAAAGATGCGTTTCCGTGTCAAGGGGCGCTAAGGGAAAGGTGACTCTGCAGGATCTCTCCGAGCACACACTTCACACCTCGTTACTCTCAGTCCCCGGGCCGCGCTCGGCTGCGGCGGGGCCGCGCCGCCGGCGCTCCCGCACGGAGCGGGCCGGGCCGCTCCGGCCGCACGGGAGGCACGACCGGCCTGTGTCCCCGTCCCGCCGCCTCAGCCCCCGCTCCCCGCCCGCCTGCGCCGGGAGCGCTCTGGGCCGCCCGCGGCCGCGTGCCCGGGAGAAAGGCACGAGCAGGCAGCTGCCGCGCGGGAACCGGGGCCTCCCCGCCCCTTCCTCCTCCTCCTTCTCCTCCTCCTCCTCCCCCCCCCCGCCGCTGCCGCCGCCGCTGCCGCCGCCGCTGCCGCCGCCGCCTCGGCCGGCGATCCGGGCCCGCGCCCCCTGTGCCGGTGCCGCCCCCGCCCGGCCCTGCCGCGGTACCTGCGCGGGGCCGCGCCGCCATCGCCGCCCTCGCGCTCCGCCCGCTCCGCGCAGGCGCCGCCGCCCCTCGCGCGTCACCGCCCTGCGACCGCGCGCGCCCGGCCCTGCCGCGTGCGGAGCCCGCGCGGCCGGGGGAGGGGCCCCGCCGCCATCTTGGGCGAGGCGCGCGCGGGCGGGGCCGCGGTGCCGCCATCTTGCGGCGGGGGCCACCCTGAGGGGGCCGCGGGCACCGCCCCCCGCCCCGCCAAGCGCTGCGGTGCCAAACACTGTCCCTGCAGGACACGGGCGGCCCCCGGGCACCCGAGGGCCCAGAGTGCAGTCGGGCTGTTCTGAGGGGACACACACACACACACAGGGTCACCTGATGTGAAGGCAGAGCAGACTCGCCAAAGAGATGCACCAAAGCTCTTTAAGTTGCTTTGAAACAGAAATGGCAGCCAGGACTCTGCAGTAAGTAGTTCAGTGCTTCATGGGCAAGAGTAATTTCTCACCCCTCACCTGATGCTGTTGAAAAGAGCCTTCCATCCGAGAAATGGTTCTTTACACGGGTTTGCCTTGAAGTGAAATAGGACATGGAATATTTACATTTGAGAGTAAGTCAGCAAGGCACACTTTGTAGATGAAGATGGGGCTTTGAAGTGTTACTATTAAAAACAAGTTGATGGTGGGATGAAGTCTTGAGAGGCAAATGTCAGACTGATTTGCAGTGGGGTGGATTATGTTGTAGGAGGGCAGGTGGAGAAAGAAGCAAAAGACCCTCAGATGAAGGTAAATTTCTGCCAGCATTTGGTACTCAATAATAAATAAATACAGATCTGCCTTTGCCTTTTGTATTGCAAATTAGATGAGGGTTTCAGTGTTTCACACTCATAAGCATAGTTCTTAATTTTTAAGTCTGCACGTTTTAAACCTTATTCCTGTCATAACTCCATCCAGCTCAGTCAGTTGACTAAGTCAGAGTCTGTACCCTTTAACCTGGAGATAAGACTGGAGGCTAAAAAGGTTGCAGGACCTCCCTCCCACACTATACATGAAAAGGACAGTGGCAAAATTGTATTAAAGGAGAAAATACTTGTCAGTGAATGTCAGAATATTGTGTAAGTAGCTCCATTCTGCAGTCTTTTAGCCCATTTTTTTAGAGGATTCATCACTCTTGGGGATGCTCTCAAAGCCTCAAAAGCTCACAGGAAGTACAAGCCTCACAGGTAGAACATTTCTTCTTGTACTTTCTCCCTTCTACATACACATTGCTACCATTAGCTGGCAGATTTTGCCACTGCCATTTATAGTGCACTAATGACTCCTTTTGAATTCTTTGTCTCCTCTGCTCAAGACAAACCACACTATTGTGGTGAAGAATAGTTGTAATGGAAGTGGCAGTGAAAAACTTTGAGCACTTCTAGTCTTGCTGCTTAAAATAACTCTAGGCACCCTGACTATCTTTTAAGTGCATTGGACGATTTAATCCAAAACTGATGAGAGGACAGGAGTCTGAAAGAGATGAGCTTTCTACAAGCTACCTTAAAATAATGAGGCAAGTTGAGATAAAGTTACAGATTTAAAGGCAAAAACCATAAAGCATATTGTTGCTTCCAGCTTTCTGGGTGGTTCCGAGAGTTAAGAATAAGCTGGGGATATTGTGGAGAGAAGTGATAATTTTTGGAGCTTGTAATCAAAGAGCATCAAACATATTTTGGCGCAATCAATACACTTAACAAAGATGAATGGAAAAACACAAAGAAGAGAACTTTGTACCAGGAAACGCTACAGTTCAAGTAGTGAATACTTTGGATCTCTGGCCGTGGCTCAGGAAAGCCAGTGAGTCCACCTGTGGCACCTTCCACAGTGCTGTACCCCCAGAAACAGGTCTAACTGTATTTGTACACATATTTAGGGGAAATAATTGGAGGACAAATTATAATCTTCTAATGAACGTGCTTTTGACAACCTGTACCACTGATAAGACACAGAAATTAGCGTTTCAGACTTAACATGCAGCTCCTGGACAGAAAGGAACAGAGATCAGTACCTGGGCATACTGTATCTGTCCAGGTAAATGCCAATTACAGGGAGATGGTTATTTCACTCAATTTTGAGGATGTAACAACTCTGATGATGCAAGATTATTATATTATGTTTTGGTTTTTTTTCATATTCTTGTTGGAAATACATTTCTGTGCATCCTGTTCAATTCCAGAATTAACTTTCAGGTCTATACATGTCAGTACTGGAACCTGCTCTTTGTAGCTGTTGAGTTTATTTATGCATTCTCTTCAGAGGGCCAGAAGAGATCATCCAGAGAGTCAAACACACTTTTACCCTTCTAGATATCCAGAAATGGCAGCAACTATTCAGTTAATGGTTTTTTTGATGCTAAAGTTGTAGTACAAGTGCAGCATATAAGCATCTAAGCAAATTACCATAGTTTTTTTCTTGCACAGAAACTTCTGTCTTTATGACCATAGCTGTATGTACTTCGCATTTTCCCAAACATGTGACACAGTTAGCACTGAAGTTTGATAATAAATTTAAATAAATTTGTTACATACTGCTATACAAAGTGTTTGACAAAAATATTTCTGAACTGGCCAGACCCCTCAAGAATACAGGAAGGACATCATAGAGTTAAATCAACCTGCTCAGGCTTAGCTGCATGCAAACAACATTTACTTGTTTGTTTGTTTGTTTTTAAGGGTCCCAGGAAGGAAAGGGTTTTATGGTCCACTATATTGGGATAAAATTAAATGCATTGAGAATGGACTTCTGACAAAGTTTACTTGAGTACAAACGCTCTGGCATAAATAAAACAATTCTTAATTGTTTTGAAGGTAATAGACACCGGGAGCACAAGGAAAAATTTTCATCTTAATATAAGAGAATTTTTTTTCAGTGAGAGCAATTGATGCCTGGGAGAACCTCCCCAGAGACGTGGTGGAGTCCCCATCACTGGAGGTTCTCCAGACACGGTGGGGAGGGAGCTGGATAATCCCTTCTGGAATCCCTTTTCCACAAAACGTGGGAGCAGGGGATCTTTTGAGGTCCCCACCAGCCTGGGGTGTTGTGTGAACATCACATACCATTTATTTCACTGGTAAAGGTTGCTGTCTAAGGGAACTCGGTGGTGACCCAGGAAAATCATGTGTTCAGAGAAGGGAATCTTAGCCCTTCAGGAAGGCTGTTAGCATTGACTGATGTTGCAAAGGGAGTTAAGATCCGAGTCTGAAAATAGTCCATTAAGAATTTTAATGGAAGGACTTCTACCAAATGGCATGTTTGTAGATTTTAATCAAAGCCTTTACCATCCTGAGTTAAAAAATTGCAGCCTTACAGCGCAGAGAAAGGGCAGTAAAGTCTGTACAGCTCCTCAATAGTGAGTTTCTGTCACATCTCTCATCTGTTGTATACATTAGTGAGATTGGATGCCCTTGGAACTATTTCGTTACATTTGTGTTAAAAAGACCTGTATTTGACAAAAAGTTGGTGCATCCTGAATTCCAGTTGGTCCTAATATGCCAGAGGGCTGAATCCTGGATATTTTCCACACCACTGCACTGCCTGTTCCATGCAGGAGTTTGAAAAAAAAGCTTTATTAAGGTTGATAGTTGTTCATAGCTGTTCTATATGAGCAACTAAACATCTTTTCCTAACAAGTATATAATAAATTTTTCTTCCAAATTGTCCCATTTGACACTTCAAAATTAAAAAAAAAATAAGAAACAAACAAACAACACTCTTATGTTTGAAAAGGTGTATTGGAAGGAAACCCTTTTGAAAATTGTTTTGTGTGATCGTAGTTGATGCTGAAAATACAGAGAAACACATTTCTTGCAAAAGTGAGAAATTTTAATTTCTTAGGAGCATGGTAGTTTCCTAACTAAAATCGGACAGATTTGGTTTCAAATGTTATGACTTTTGGTTTTACTTAATCATTTAGCACTTGACTTTAATCAGAAGCACTTGCCTGAGTCTTACAGTTCTCGAAGAGCATAGGATATTTCTTGTCTTTTCCTAACCAAGCATAAAATACACTTTTCTTTCGAGTTGTCCCATTTGAAGAAGAAAATATGAATGTTAGTTTACTGTGGAGGTTTCCTGTGTAGGGTTAGAGCGAGCTATAATGTTTGTATAATTCCTCATGATTCATGGAAGAAAAAGGACGTAATTCACATTGCCCAGGGCCCACAAGAACAGTGGCCCTGCATGAAGGCAGGCTTTGCTTTCTGTTTTTGTTTTTCTGAGTACCCAGCTAGTCAGAGCTCACAAGAGCTAGGCCTAAGGAGGGTTGTTATGCAGTGCCACACCTGAGCCACTTATTTCTTACCCTCACAGAACAAGGTAATTTGCAACAGCCCAACAAATCAACAAATCCCACTCTTGAAATCTGTAGCAGCTGTAACCCGGGTGAGTCCTTACAAGGCTTTCTGCTACTGGGGAGGTGAGTTAAGGTCCAGCATAGAAATGTTTGCTTGATGAAGCGCAGCACTGGTGTCTCATTTCCCAGAAGGGATTCCTCAAGTGGAGGGAGTCAAAGTCATCACCATGCAAAACCAGACTCTGTGTAAAACAAAGGGGTCACAAGAAGCTGAACTGCTGACTTGTTATGCCACAGAAAACAAAGGTTTTACTGTTCTGGGCTGCAGAGTAAGGCTAAGTCATGATGCCTTCAGCAGCAATTCAGGACTCCTTCAGGAGCAAACAGCAGGGAAGTTTTACCCAATTACTTACAAATGGAGATGTACACGTGGTATAGCAGGATTGTAATGAATTTTTGGCCTGGTATAAAAAGACATTTTCAAGAATTCAACTGTTAAGAATTTTGTATAAATGGTGTATATCACAAAAGCAAAAGAGTATCCAGAAGTAAATGGGTTGGACATGGAACTGGAGGCCCATCTTGGGAACTGTGCTCCAGCCAACGGTTATTGAAATAGTTGGGTTCGAGTTTCCACATTTTAAATATTTTTCCAGTGTGTCGTAGATTAAAAACACAGATGGAGATTGCTGGTGTTTTATTTTAGACTACGTAGGCTGTTTCTTGAACCAAAACACTAATTGAAGCACTATCTTGCTTATCTTTAAATAACATTTGAATACGATGCTTGTTCTGATGTACAAAATGCACCAAAAGTACACTATTTTGGTGAATAACCTTCTGAAGATGTAAACTGATACTAGATATTAAATATTAACAACAGTAATCGGCACAATTGAACAGGTCAAACCCTGCCATTCTGTAATCTGTATTAGGTACTGGAGTACTGCAGAAAACTGTAACTGTAGCACCAGCAAAAAAGCTTATTTGCAGATTAATTGATTAACAATACCATTTTAATAGGCATTGTAATCTAAGGCTGTAGCATCTTAAGAATTTAAAAGCAACCACCTGTACTACATCAGTGTTCTGTTACCTGCATCATTTATATAAAAAAGCACTGAAGTCACCTCCAGTA